ACCCAGTAGACTGCGGAAATCATTGGAGAATATCATTAATATCACATGTAAGTAAAATGTTGTCCAAGATAATTTAAAAAATGGTTGCAACAGTACATTGATAAGGAACTACCAGAGGTTCAAGCCCTACGCAGCCCAGGACGTGGAATCAGGAATATCTTTACTGACATCAGAAGGATCTCAGGTGAAAGCACGAATATGTGCTTTAATGACTTAATGACTATGCAAAGGCTTTCATAACAAGCTATGGACAACATTGCAAAGAATGAGTATTCTGAAACACTTAATTGTGCTCATGAGGAACCTGTACATACACCAAATAGCAGTCATTCGAACAGAGCATGAGAACACTGCATGTTTTAAAATTAGGTAAGGTATGCGGTAGGGTTGTATTCGTTCACCATATTTATTCAGTCTGTATGCTGAGCAAATATCTGAGAAACTGGACTATATTAAGAATGCATCAGAATTAGAGAAAGCATAATTAACAACCTGCAATATGCAGATGATGCAATTTTGCTGAAAACAAAGAGGACTTAAAATACTTACTGATGAAGATCAAAGAACATAGCCTTCCATATAGATTGCATCTCAATGTAAAGAAAACAAAAATCTGCACAACTGGAGCAGTAAATAATATCATGATAAAAGAAGAAGAGATTGAAGTCAAATGCTTCATTTTGCTTGGATCCACCATCAACATTTATGGAAGCAGCAGTCAATAAATCAAAGGACATATTGCATTAGGCAAACCTGCATAAGACCTCATTAAAGTGTTGAAGAGCAAAAATTTCAGTTTGAGGATTGTGGTGCACCTGACCCAAGCCATGGTACTTTTAATAACCTCATATGTATGTAAAAGTTGGACAGTCAGTAAGGAAAACTGTAGAATAATTAATGCATTTAAGTTGTGGATGGTGTTAGAGGAGAATATTAAAGGAACCATAGACTGCCAGAAACACAAACAAATCTATGTTGGAAGAAGTACAACCAGAATGCTCCTTAGAAGACAAGATGGCCAGACTTTGTCCCTCATACTTCGGACAAGTTATCAAGATGGACCAATCCCTGGAGAAAGACACCAAGCTAAGTAAAGTGGAGGGTCAGCGAAAAAGAGCGTGATCCCCCCAGTGAGATTGGCACAGTGGCAGCAGCAGTGGGCTCAAACATAGCGATTGTGAGAATATTGCAGAATGGGACAGTGCTTCATTCTGTTATACATAGGGTCACTATGGATTGGAACCAACTCGACGGCACATATTAACAATAAGCAAAAGCCTACGGATTTGTAGTGATGTGTTATTGTTAACCCAAAGTGAGTGGGAAATTGGTTCTTTTGTTTAATAAATATGGTGATTCTGTGCTGGTGATATTTTTGAGAATGTACAGTTTTTGTACAGCATACAACCTGTATGCTGAGCAAATAATATGAGAAGCTGAGTTCTGTGAAAAAAACGTGGCGTCAGGATTGGAGGAAGACTCAGCAACAACCTGAGAGATATGCAGATGATACAATCTTGCTTGCTGAAAGTGAAGAAGACTTAAAACATTTACTGGTGAAAATCAAAGAGCACAGCCTTCGGTATGGTTTGCATCTCAGTGTCAAGAAAACAAAAATCCTCACCACTGGACCAATAAACAACATTCTTATCCATGGAGAAAAGATTGAAGTTGTCAAGGACTTCATTCTTCTTGGATCAACTATCAACACTCGTGGAAGCAGCAGTCAAGAGATCAGACTACATATTGCATTGGGCAAATCTGCTGCACAGGGACTTGTTAAAGTATTGAGGAGCAGAGATGTCAGCTTGAGGACTAAGGTGAGCCTGACCCAAGCCATGGTATTTTCAATAACCTCATATGGATGAGAAAGCTGGACAGTGAATAAGGAAGATCGTAGAAGAATCGATGTCTTTGAGTTGTGGTGTTGGAGGAGAATACTAAAAGTGCCATGGACTGCCAAAAGAACCAATAGATCTGTTTTGGAAGAAGTGCAGTCAGAGTGCTCCTTGGAGACCAGGATGGCTAAGCTTCATCTCTCATACTTTGGACATATTGTCAGGAGGGAACAATCGTTGGAGAAGGATGTCATGCTGGGTTTTCAGCATAAATTCTTATAACCAGTGTGACCTGGTTAACACTTCCAAATGTTAAGCGCTCATGAAATGGTAGTTCCCAAAGAACTTGGAAAAACGAAATCTAGGACCTCTTTAGAGAAACATGTCTTAACCCAGGCCTCAAAGTAATCCCCACAAAGAAAGGAATAGGAGCTCACAGTTTTTAAAAAATTGTTTGTATGTATGTATATGTGTTTGTTGATATTCATGAAACTGTGAGTAAGATCACAGTGAGCACAAGTTTGCGGAAACAGCAAACATCAAGATTCAGACCAGTAAAGGCTTCAGATAATTGGAATGATCAGATACAGGGTATAAGCTGGGTATGGTTATCATTTTTGAATAAATAAAAGAGGGGTTAGGAAGTATTAGTAAGGGACAAGAAACTGTCAGAACTAACTATGGAATGGTTGTAACATGAAGAAGAAAGAAAAGCTGGAGAAAAAGGGATGGCCTGTCGTAAAGTGAGAAGCTAGCTTGAAGAGGCTCCACTGGCCAACTCTAGGAACAGTTGAAAACCAAGATGATTTATAGAGTCCTAGTATGGTGCTGTAGGTTAATGCATTGGACTGAAAGGGTCAGTGGTTCAGGCTCACCAGCCACTCCTTGGAAATCCTATACAGGGTCACTATGAGTCAGAACCGACTCCACGGCACTTAACAAAAATAATAAAAAAACAGGAATTTATGAGTCCATACTGATAATACATAGATGAACAATTGATGGGTGAAACAAAGTTCTTCCTTTATTAAACACGCAGTGCTGTTATATGTGGGACAGGAACTGGAGTTGAGAAATGATCATTTTGAAAACCATCATGGATACTAAATATCCGATAAATTCCTATGCAGGACTTTTGCATGGTCTTAAAATGTCTCTCTCCACAGATAACTTACTAGAAAGGGCGAGACAAAAAAGAGCAACTGGACATTAGACCACATCTTGCCCTGATAATCCGAATGACTGTCACCAAATAAAGGACAGGTTCACATTGTGTGCATCTACGTGTGATACTCGGAGAAGAACCATAACATCATGTATGTGATGCTCCAGCTGTAAACATCATAACCCAAACTGAGGAGCATTTTGTTGAAAGGGGTGGGGCAGTGGTGTTAAGATGGCTTTATTGTTCAAACAGTAGGCTGGTATCGGTCTGTCAGATATTGATCTTAGTATACATAGTGTGCCTTTCTATACATAAGAAACATTAAAGTCCTCGCAGATACACTAAAACCTTTACCATAATGATGATGATGTTAAGTACCATCAAATTGGTTCTGACTCATAGCAACCTTGCATAGGGTTTCTGAGGCTGTAAATCTTCGTGGGAGAAGAAAGCTTCATCTTTCTCCTGTGGAGAAGGTGGTTAAGATTCGAACCATGGGCCTAGTGGTTTGCAGTCCAATGCTTATCCTCTAGAGGCACCTTGTTCCCAGTTTAATACGATGGCGGGTATTGTGCTGTGGAGTCGGTTCTAACAACCCTGTTTAGGATTTCCAAGGCTGCAAATCTTTATGGAGCAGAAAGCCTCATCTTTGTCACACGGAACAGCTGGTAGTTTTGAACTGCTGACCTTGAGGTTAGCAGCCCCACTTGTAGCCACTACACTACCAGAGCTCCTGAATTTTAACATGGTAGTACAGTAATAGTAGTATTTGGTGTGTGTAACAAAGTAGCATGTGTTTTTCTTATGAACCATTGGATTTTTAATAGACAGGCTTTATGGTGTTGGTGTACGTAAGCTGGATGTTCGTAACGTAAGGACTGCCTGTACAGCAATATTAACAAGTGGTTCAGAGCAGATTTTTAACACTGATCAACATGAAAGCTGATGCTTACTTGGTAGAACTTCTTTTCACTCTTTTTTTATACTATATTTAATGCCATTGCTAATATTTTTCTTTTTGCTCCATTTTCTTTGATAGCTAGCATTTATTGATTGTAATCTTATCAATGGGGCAACCACACATCTTTTGCAGAACCAATATCTGAGGTACTATATTCAATCTGTTTGATTACAGATACCTTAGATAGAACTTTAGGAGACAAACGACATCTTGTGACTGTAGAACTAGAAGCAAGTCCAGCTGAAATGTCATCTGTTATTCCAGTTATTGAATATGCTGAGGATCTTAGTGAAGAACTCTTGAAGGTCTCCCAAGAGGCTGTTGAAAATGGAATTCATGGTGCATGCCTCCAAGGTAAGGCCTTCCCATGAGATTAATAAGCATTAGTAGAACACTCAACCATTTGCTACTCTCTACATTTTATATACGTATATAAGGAGCTCTGGTAGCATAGTGGTTATGAGTCACGCTGCTAATCTCATGGTCAGCAGTTCGAAACTACCAGCTGTTCCGTGGGAGAAAGATGAGGCTTTCTGCTCCCGTAAAGATTTACAGCCTCGGAAACCCTGTACGGGGGTTGCTATGAGTCGGAACCGACTCCACAGCACACTACCACCACCACGGCATTTTATATGATTTCATTCTAATTTCTTACGTTGTGCTTTCTCTCTGTACCGCTACTGTTGGTTCTGTTACTCCTCACTGCACATTGAAATCCTAAGACAATTTGTTTTCCCTTACCTAGGACCGTTGCTTGGATTCCCAGTTCAGGATATAACAATTACTTTGCATTCACTAATAGTTCATCCTGGTACCTCCACAACTATGATTTCTGCCTGTGTCTCAAGATGTGTGCAGAAGGTATGGAAGTGTCCCAACCCTGTGACCCCACAGCTCTGTACTACTGCCGATTCCACATTCCTCTTTGCTTACAAAGCCTGACCTTGTGTCTGCCTCCTGAGTCTTGTGATACACACGAGTTCTTACCATGGAAAATCTTTGCCTTCTTCCTCACCAGAAGTTTTCTAAGAGGATCTTAGAAATCACTTAGAAATCTTTTACTGGTTAGCACAGATTGCTGTTGAAATAATCTGTGATTTGAGCAAAAAGACAAGTTTCGTTAGGATCCTATACAGGATTGCTATGAGTTAAAACCCACTTGATGGCACTTAACAGCAACAACAAAGTGGCATTTCTGCTTTCTCCATCCCCCACACACAACAGTTGGAGATAAACCTGGTAGACTAGTTGAGAGGCTTCATCTGGGGTTTACTTGTCCCAAAATGAACTATAGTCACAAGGACTTTTAATTAAGAACTATTGATAAATCCTAAGTAACAAATTCAGTATAAGCATTTTCCCTTCTCAAAGGATCAGGTAATCTGGTCTTGGTGTGGTTACCTGGTGATAGGGCCTTGAGTGTCATGGACCCTCTGCTTCCTGCCCCAATAACCTCCTAGAGCTGGACTAACACTCCAGGAATTGCTGTTGTTGTTAAGTGCCATCAAGTCGGTTCTGACCCATAACGACCCTGTATAGGGTTTCCAAGGAGTGACTGATGAGCTTGAACTGCGGACCTCGCAGTTCAAATGGCTTTGCAGTGTGGTGTGTTAATCCACAGCACCACCCCAGGACTCCCTCTCCAGGAGTGAGGCATGCTAAATGCGCTTCTGTGTATTCTTCTCAGTGCTGGGCTTCCCAGTCTTGTAGCTGGATAATTTTGCATTAAAACACTTGCTTGTTATAACCATTTAAAACATATTTTTATATTGTATTTGAGATCTGATTTTCTTTAGTATTATTTGAAAGCTTAATTTTAAAATAAATTTAAATACCTTAAACCCTTAAGTTCAGAAGACTGAATGAAGTACATTAGTCTCTTACATCTGAGGTCAAATTCATACTTCTTAAAAAGTTTTTTTTTTTTTCAAATTACACAAAAAAATCCTAAAGCTTAAATATGAAATTGTTTAAATATTGCTCACCCTAAGCATGTAGTTAGAAATGGCACCGTAAAGTAGTTATGATTAAATTTTAAAGTTCCTCCCAGAATTGATTTGGTATTGAAGTAACTAATTTGAAAGATGATTTAATATAGTTTCCAAATCAACCCCAAGCCCCAGTATATTGGCCAATCCTTCATAATGTAGTATGTCTTCTAAACAAAATAATCTGTGTTTGAGTTGGTTGGTGTTATTATTGAAGCCATATTGGAAAAATTAACTTGATGGGAGAAGTACATTTAGCTTTTGGTTTTACATCATTAATTTCAGTAAAATACCCCTAATGGAAGTACTCTGTTGTTAAACAGTGTTTAGTGGGGACCCTCTTCCTCGCTGCTTATGAAATGTTAGGGACACTTCACATATTTATTGAGCTATTCATGTGAAGGGCACAGGTAAGATGCATACATTATTTTTACCTAAAGGGATCTTCTTATTTATAGTCAAATAGCCAGCATATTAGTTAGAATGAGCTGAAAACCATAAAAACTGGGAAATAGGGAATTGGGGAGGATTCTTAGGGATAATATTTGAGTTGTGATGGTTTGAAAGATTTGGACAAAGGGGCATATTGCATATGGATGGGGCAGATTGAAGAATTCTTTAGTTACAATGTCAGATGAAAAAGAAGTTTGAACTTTGATGTGAGAACAATGGTGAGTCAACTTTTTGAAATAGGAAGTAGAATTGTTAGTATACAGGTTTGGAGTACGGCAGAGACGTTCTAGGACCGGAAATGAACTAGGTCTTTACTAGAATACCAGCAATTGTTAACTGCTGTCGAATTGGTTCCTACTCATAGCAACCCTGTGTAGGGTTTCCAAGGAGCATCTGATGGGTTTGAACTACCAACCTTGCAGTTAGCTTTCCAGTGCTTAAAGCTCATTGGGCATAAAGGAATAGTCAAAGATGCGTGTCCAGATGAACTAAAGACTAGAAGTTCCAACAGCAGGAAAAAAGCAGAGCAAAGTATTTTGGAAAGAAAATGATGCTCTTCGCTTGGTACATATTGGGAGACTTTAGGATTATTTAGGATGTTTGCATAACAACTTGTGATACACAGTTGATACAACCTTGCTTGCTGAAAGCGAAGAAAACTAAATACTAATGAAGATCAAAGACCATAGTCTTCAGTATGGATTGCATTTTACTGTAAAGAAAAATTCTCACCACTGGACCAATAAATAACATCATGATAAATGGAGAAAAGATTGAACTCAGTTTTCTTGGAAGCAGCAATCAAAAAATCAAACTACATATTACATTAGGCAGATCTGCTACACAAGACCTCCCAAAAATGCTCAAGAGCAAAGATACCAATTTGAGGGTTAAGGTAAGCCTGACCCAAGCCAGGGTATTTTCCGTCACCTCGTATGCATGTGAAAGTTGGACAGAGAATAACTCAGACTGTAGAAGAATCAGTGCATTTGAGTTATGGTGTTGGAGAAGAATATTAAAAGTTCCTTGGACTGTTAGAAGAACAAATAAATCTGTGTTGGAAGAAAGTACATTCAGAATGCTCCTTAGAAGCCCAGATGATGAGACTTTGTCTCTCATGCTTTGGACTTGTTATGAAGAGGGATCATTTCCTGGAGAGGGCCATCATGCTTGGTAAAGTGTAGGGTCAGTGGAAAAGAGGAAGATCCTCCCCCCCTGCCCCAATGAGATGGAATGACACAGTGGCAGTAGTACTGGGATGAAACGTACGAGTTGTGAGGATGGCACAGGACCAAGTAGTGTTTTGTTTTGTATAGGGTCACTATGATTTGACACTATGCTATGGCTCTTACCACCACCACCACCACCACGAGTTAATGGTACTTGCAGACGCCACCTGAAACCCCTTTACCGATTTAGCTGATGCATTTAGACTATTAATAGACTATTAAATAATAGATTCGGGCTCGGACTGTCAATCATAATGTTATGTGGCTGCTACTTCCCAGTGTTATTCAACTTGCATACTCCCCTGAATGCCACTTTAGCGGGTTTCTCTATGTGCTGTACGTTTTCATATTCTCTATGTGCTGTACGTTAAATTTTTCTCTTTAAATCTGAAACAAGAGGTTTCAGTATTGAAGAAATGGGTCTTCGGTTTAAAGGGGAAAACTATTTTCTCAGGCCACTTGTTCACATAAAGGTTTGATTTAATCAAACTTTACTCCCCTAGCATACCATACATGGGACCTATGTTGTTACTGCCATTGAGTCACATCCAGCTCATAGCAAACCATCCAGGATCAAGCTTTCGAGGCTTTAAATCTTTACGAGAGCAGAAAACCTCATCTTTCTCTCACAGAGCAGCTGGTGAGCTCGAACTACTGACCTTGTACTTTGCAATTCAGTGTTTAATCATATGGAGCCACATGAGACCTTAGATATGCTGTATCACACGTGGGCAAATACTGAAGTTTGCACTGTTTGTCGGTATCAGTGGCACTGATAAAGCAGACATGTTTCTGACACAGCCTCATACTTGAGTTTGGGCAGTATTTGAAAGTTTGTACGATTCATGCCTCCTCCCCCATTTTTTTTCCCTAGCAGAAATTTGATTTCCAATGTCAGCAAGCAGGGCTAATGTTCTTTTGTTTCTTTAGGCTCTGAAGAAAGCAGATAATCAAGTTTTGGAGCCTCTGATGCATCTCGAGGTGACAGTGACTCGAGATTACCTCAGCTCTGTCTTGGCAGATCTGGCACAAAGAAGAGGGAACATTCAGGAAATCCAGACTCGCCAGGACAACAAGGTTGTTACTGGATTTGTTCCTCTCGCAGAAATGATGGTAGGTATTCTGTGACTGAAAGTGCATATTTTTTAATACAGCTGATACACATGCTGAACAAAAATCAGTAAGACCTGGCAAAGCATCATTAGAGAATTAGAGAATGTATGTTAAGTTTAAGCCATCAGGGACTGATGAATTTTAGGTTTATTAGGAAAGTTCACTGGGATTATGTCCAGTCCTAGACCCACCAAGTTGGGAGTATGCAAACTAAAACGTGGCATTAGCCTCAATGGCCGCTGTTTCCTTTCTAAGCATTGATCCTACTTTTGCCACTGTCTGTTTGAAAGCAAGTGCTATTCTTTTCTGTCAACCTTACCTGCTCCAGGACAGGCACCTGAGTACTACAGAGTGGTGGGAAGGGCAGAGTCATCCTACCTACCAAGTGCCAGGACTACACAGCCGATCTGAGGCATGCCTTTGCCTACCCTACTCAATATATTCTGTGCTCCACAGTATTTGTATACTGAACTTCACAGAAAACTGGTAAAACTGGGGGGGCTTAAATTTGACAAAATAACTGACTGGAATTATTTTAATTAGGGTTATTCAACTGTGCTTCGAACGCTAACATCAGGCTCAGCTACTTTTGCCTTAGAACTATCTAATTATCAAGCCATGAATCCTCAGGACCAGCGTGTACTGCTCAACCAGAGAAGTGGCTTGGCCTAAGTGTTTTGGGTCCTGGAAAATGAGAGACATTCAGGAGCATCTATCCACTTCATTTTCAGTAAGAACCACTTTCACTGCTCTATTTGTTGGGTAAATGCATTCAAGTTTCAGTGTAGAGAAGAAGCTAAAAGATGGAACTTGAAGTCTGACCGGCAGTGGAGCTGCCTGCTCGATTTTATGAGAACTATGCTTCGAATTTTGAATGTATGTGAGTAAATGTTGTAATCAGTAGTAAATACAGTACAAAAGTGTTTTTGTTTTTAACGTCTCGCAAGGAAGATCCATTTTTCTTTACCTGATGTAAAATAAGCTAAAGGTTCAGTCAATACAAAGATACCTTTTATTCTTAGAACAGTCAAACAAATCTTAATTTCCATCATTTCAGAATCAAGTTGGTTGTAGCAGATTGCTGTGGACTTCTTTCCCCTCCTGTTTTCCATCTTTGCTTAGGCTTTTTTTATGTACTGTGCTCATGGCTACAGTAGCCTGTGAAAAGAGGTTCTGCAGCTATTCCACGCCTATGAAACAGAAAAAGTATGAATACAAGATGTAATTCACCAGCCATATGAAAGAGTTTTATAGCTAAAATCAGGATCACCAAACCATTGCTAAATTGTGAGGGGAGGAAAATCACTTTAAGATAGGAAAATCGATATTAAAGTGACAATAGATGCCAATGTAAAGTTACATCAAAATTTGACATATCTATAAAACACATCGGAGCTCTGGTAGTGTAGTGGTTACGAATCGGGCTGCAAACCGCAAGGTCAGCAGTTCGAAACTACCAGCTGCTCTGTGGGAGAAAGATGAGGTTTTCTACTCCCATAAAGATTTACAGCCTCGGAAACCCTTGTTCAGGGTCGCTATGGGTCGGAACTGACTCTACAGCACTTAACAACAACAACAACATAAAACAGTAAGTGCAACAGTATTACAGGCACCATTTTCTTCATCTACAAAATACTAGTCCTCAATCCTCTTAATTAAATCGCTGCTTCTAAAGTGACAAACATTTCTATTTGTAACAAAAACAAAAGTTGGCTAACACTGAATAAGAGGTTAAAAAATCACATGGAACTTTAAAATGTAGCTTGGACACTAGTTTGTCTTACCTGATCATTCTGCATCGGTGCACTGTTAACCTGTCATAGGCATTTCTTACATCTCTGACATCTTTGCTACTCCATAGTCTCTCGCCAACAGCACTTGCCCGAGGCCTAAAATTTAAGCCACAAATCCCCCAAAACATGTTAAATCTATGTTTTCTTAAACAAGTACATAAGCCATGTTTGGGGGAATTCCTAGTGTTTTCCCACGTTAAGTGGAGCATGAAAGCTAGGGCACCCTTATTTTTATTTTAACTCAAATGTTATCAATTAAATTGCATACCATAATCTTGGAGTGAGGTTAGTCGCATCCACATATTCTCCCCATAGGCAAGCTTCGCCACCAAGGACGAGTGCTTTCTGTTTCAGAGAACCTGTGTGGATATAAACAACTGTAGTTCAGGCTGGTACAAAGAGTCCCACTGTATCCACACCCCTGGCCCATGAGTCATAGTGTGTATAGCATATGAAAACGAAATGTGTTTGTTCAGTATTGAAGATACCATTTTATTTGGTTTTAAACAAATTAATTTGGATACCAGAAATATTCTTTCTCCTCCTAAAGTACTTCTTAGAGTGTGCCAATGACTATAAATTAGAACACTAGTTTACCATTGTTAATGGGCTGTGACCACTACTCCTAACTTCAATTTCTACTTCTTAATGTAAAAAAAAAACCTAAACAATTGTTTTCATAGTAATCGACTTTTTGATCCTCAGAAATTACATTCTAGAGGAAGTTCCTATCAATTTTTACTTACCTTACAGTTCTCAAACAATTTTTTTAAATCGTAAAATCTTAGAAAAAGCAATTTCATATTAAAAGTATGATAAATAAAAGTGGACAATATTAAACTGTTCTTACTGGAGGGTTCCGAGGGTTGAAGTGCTGTGTGACTGAGACACTCCCTCACTGCCTTCCCCCACCACACACACACACACGCACACACACGCACGCACATGGATGAAATCCTCTGAACTAGACAATAGTCTTTCCTCAGACAAGTTTGATACAGACAGCATCTTCAAAATGTGGAAAGTGAAAGCTTGAAGTGATGATGAGCTTTGATTTGATTTGATAGACATACATATATACCCAAAGTATCTCAAAATCAAGACTCAAGCATAAAGGGGTAATAGTTTTAGAGGTAATATCTAGGTCAGGATTTCCCATGTACGAGAGTAAGGAAGGAAACTAAGAAACCAAGGTAATGGTAGTTGCTTTACTTACCAGAAAAATTAAGAGGTTCTACTTGATAGTAAGTTTTCCAGTCTTGTCCATATGTAATCAAATCCAAGTACCAAGGAGAAGCAAGGATTACAGGGAATCCAGCTTCTGTGACTTGGCTGAGTTCTTGAGTATAGTCTTCTGATTTCCACACTTCAACTACAGTGCCTGGCTGAAGCTATTAAATTACAAATTATAATACTTATCAGTAGGTTTAGCAAATACAGTATAGATCATACTGAAAGTCCAAGGCATTAAAGTTAGAAAACACTTAAAATCAGAGGTTTCATCAACCTTAAAGTTGGATATTTAACTTCTGTCTATACATATAACCATGTGGGTAGGATAAACACTGGACTGCGAGCCACCAGGTCAGAGGTTCAAACCCACCAACTACTTCACAGGAAAAACATGAAGCTTCCAGCTCCTGCAAAGATAGCCAGCCTCAGAAACCCTGTGCAGGGTCACCATGAGGCCAAATTGACTCGGTGGCACTTAGCAACATGACACCATGTAGGCACAGTGAACTATGGCTGAGCTTTAACATTTCAATCCCTTTCCTTCTGTTTAACTTTGTAACTGTGAGGATGCAAAAAACTAACACTGGTAGCACAACCTGAAAATTCACAACTGAAGAAGACTGGACTACCTCAGAAAGAAAAACTAGTTACAGTGTTACTACAGAAACACCTCAGTAGCAATAAAGACTCATTGCTCTGAAAAATGGGGCTGAATTCAGAGTACTTCTGCTGTACTGAATAGTGAGCAGGTAGAGGACGAGGTGAGAAGGAAAAGCCGCTAAGGAGTGAAGTCCGTGGAGAAGAGAAACAAACGCCATGATGACTGGTCCTGGGCTATAGCTACTGCCTAACCAAAGTGTAAGGCAAGGGTCAGTTCACTGACATAATGATGGGGACAGACTTATTAGGGTTCCTTCCATTCCAGATGTGAGCCTGTTAAGACACGAGTATTACAGAATCGGGTACCACCTTACACTTCTCACCTTCACGTTATCATCAAAAACCTCTTGCCAGACGACAGATCTCTTGTTTATAGCTGCAATAATGTCCACAAGCCTACGGGTAAAAAAAAAAAAAAAAATCATTTCAGATCACAAGCTTAATGATGATGGTGAAGCAAAGAACATATTCTAACAAGGATTACTAGTCATATTCAGAAGTGTCTTTTAGTATAACCTAACCAGAGCCAGCTAAAGTCAAGTGACCCAGCAGTTCCTTCTTTCTAATATACTGCTCAGAACCAAACATAGTATAGGGATTTTTAACAGTCACTTCCTGAATGAGTGAGCTAAGCATGCCCCTAAGGTAGAAAGAAATGGCCTGAAACTGAATTGGCAGGCACCTCACAGGGCCAGGAACAAATATTATTCCCTGGTAATTTCATGAATATCTTAAAGGAAATAAAAATCTAGCCTGTCTAATACCCTAAGTAACATTAAACAGTTGCAGACAAACAGTCCATAAATTTTTACAGGTACTCATAAACAGCCAGGTGCATTGTAAGATTAAAGAAAAGCACTACACCAAAAGCTAAACAGGAATAGGATACAATCTGGGTTTTCCAAATGAACAGTATAGCAGCTCAGGGATGGCAAACTATAGCCTATGATTATTTTTGTATGGCCCATGTGCTAAGAATGGAGTTTACATTTCTAAAAGAATTGTTTAAAGAAGACTACGAAGTTATATAGGCTTCCTATTCCATTATTTTTTTTCTGGTGTGGTGCTGTGGGTTAATGCACCAGACTGCAAAGCCCTTTGAACTGCAAGGTTGGCAGTTCAAGCTCACCAGTCCCTCCTCGGAAACCCTATACAGGATCACTATGGGTCAGAACCGACTCACGACACTTAACAACAACATTCCATATAGGGCCCACAGCACTGGACTGCGAACCACAAGGTCAGCAGTTCAAACTCACCAGCTACTCCTCAGAAACCCTACACAGGGTCATTATGAGTCAGAACTGACTAACAACAGGGCTCACAAAGCCTAAAGTACTTGCTATTGATCCTTTACAGAAAACTGCTGACTGTTGGTACAGAGCAGCCCAGTCCGGTATACCTGCTGTGTCCAATAAGGTAGCCCCACCAGCCACATTGTATTGTCAATCACTTGGCTACTGCAACTACAGGGCAAAATTTTAATTAGTCCATGTAAATGTAAACCTGGGGGGAGGGGGGGCCTACTATCCTGGGAAATGTTGGTATATAGAAAAAGAACTGGTCCTGGAGTTCAAGGGAATGAACAGCAGGGGGCTAGGTGGAGCAGAGGCTTCATAGCCAGGTCTTCTTTAAGCTGAGCTCTTCCATCAGATGACTGAATTTAACAGCTATTGCAAAAGACTTCAAAGTCACTATACTAATGATTTAAAGAAAGCAATGGATAGTGCTTCCCTCCTTATTAGACTTTTATAACAATGACACTTCCTGGTGTGGTGCTGCAGGATAATGCACTGGACTGCAAGGTCAGTTTGAACTGCAAGGTCGGCACTTCAAACCCACCAGCCACTCCTTGGAAACCTTATACAGGGTCGCAACCTCCTCTACAACACTTAATGACAACAAACACATCATGAAGTAGGGAGAAAATGAAAAAAAAAAAAAAAAATAGAAGTTTTATAAAAGGCATTAATGAAATAAAAATATAAGTAGGGTTTCAAGTAACTTACTTCTGAACATAGAAAGATTCTAGTTTTCTAAAATCTTTGCCAAAGCCTTTTTGCTTCATGAAATTCTGTACTTCTGGATTTGACATCCTTAAAAAAAAAAAAAGAAGTGAATAAAATTTCATTCAATGTTTTAAATGCCCAGATTTCTAACTCTAAAATCAGTTGTTGAGATTTAAAATTATTCAGATGTGCAGGGCATGAAATAAGCCTAATAGTTAATTTTGTGTTATCTTAGTTTTCCATTGCAAATAGGTTTTTGGTTTTGTTTTTTTTTTTGCTAGAAGTTGATTTCCTATGAGCATAGGTTTCCTATTCCCTTCTCTCCTTCATCAAATAAAAAAGGATTTTTATTTGAAAAAATCTCATTTAAATCATTGCCCATTTTCATAAAGCTTTTCTTTCACTAATTTTTTTTTCTTCTTTTTTAAATTTCCTTCCGCATCACGATTCTTTTTCCTTAATGCATTTACTTGGTATACCAGCACATTGTAAATTCTTTGACAATCCAGCATGTCTGGAGTTTGTGTTGCTCAGTTTAGATCCATGCACGTGGAGCTGTTACCTTAGTTCCTATACTTTGATGTGGGGATATCCATGGATGCTTCAAATGGAACAGTGTAAATCAATAAAACAAGGGTTTTAAAGAATCATATACCAGCAATGAAATTCCACTTCATCGCCTCCTAAATGAATGAATTGGTCTGGAAACACCTCACTGATTTCTTTGAACAATTTATACAGGAAGCTGTAAGTTGTGTTCACAGTAGGGTTCACAGGTCCATACAGCCCAGTAGGCAGTGTTCCTTCATAACACTGTGTAAGGAGGTTAGTTTGACCTGGAGAGAGACGGAGCTTTTTTAAGGAAGCTTTGAAATCACACAGCTTTGCACACTATTATACTATTTTGTTATGTTAAAACTATAAAATATGTTATACAGAAACAGATAAGCATTTTTACTATGAGTTACTAGGTTATTGCTTCCAAATAAGATGAGGGAGAATTGTGTCCTGAATCCTATCCCAGTGCCTCTTTGTTCCCATCTCCATCCCGTCTTTCTCTGAGATTGTAGCCACCTCAAATATTATCTTGAATGGTAATAATCCCAAATCTGTATCTCCAGCTTGCTCCCACCCTTTTTCCTGAGAATCAATGCACATTTCCGATCCCCTTCTGTGTACAACTAAGTATCCCAGCTGCAGTTCAAACACTGCCCAGTCAAAAGGCCAGTGTCCTTTCCCGAAAGTCCTTCTCTAGCCTCTGACCTCCATAGGCTGGTAGGGCACCACCATTCTCTTGTTGCTCTTTCCTCCTAAAGCCAATCAATTGTTCACGTTCTATGGATTATGTTTCCAGAACAGCTCTCAATTCTGTCCACTGTTCTCCATTCCCACTGCCACCTTACTAGCACTCAAGTCTCTTCCCTACCCTCCCCCCAGTCTGTCACTTTCAAAACAGTTATCCCAAATTGGGGCTCCCATTGTGTCACTCCTGCTCAGAAACTTTCACTGGTTTTTAGTGCTGTGATGATGCCCATATTCCTTACCCCAGGTCCTCTACAAGGACGATTTCCTGACTGATTCCCCATGTCTACTTTAATGGTAATTACTAGCACTTATAAACGCTATATGCCTTATCGTCATTACTTCATCCTTAAGACACTTATATGATGTTGCTGTTAAGTGCTGTGGAGTTGGTTCTGACTCAGTGACCCTATATAGGGTTTCCGAGGAGCACCTAGTAGGCTTGAACCACCGACCTTGTGGTTAGCAGTCCAGTGCTGATCCTACAGTGCCACACTAGGATTCCCACTTATATAATGTTATTGTTCAGTGCCACGGAGTCAGTTCTGACTCACAGCGACCCTGTATAGGGTTTCCAAGGACAGGCTGGTGAATTTGAACCACCCACTTTGTGGTTCACACCGACCTTGCAGTCCAGCGCATATCTCCATTTTATAACTGGGGGAATGGAGGCTGGGAGTTAAGTAACTTATCTACAGTCTCCCAGTTTATACATGGCAGAAGCAAGATTCAGATCCAGTTTTTAGAGTCAGACTAAAAAAAGAAAAACCCCCAGCAACAAGATGGATTGACAACAGCGGCAGAAACAATGGGCCCAAACATAACAATTGCCAGGCAGTGTTCTGTTGTGCAGAGGGGTCACTATGGGTTGGAACCAACTTGATGGCACCTAACAACAACATCCTATTTTTATAATTGTTTCTGCATGCTAGTTCTTTCACCAGAAACATGAATATACTATTTAATCTCTCAAAGGCATTTTAAGAGTTACCCTATCCATGAAACCATTTCTTGACTTTCTATCAACTTGTTGAATTCATTATCTATTTTCCCTTATCCCTTATTTTGTACTTAAGGGAGTGTCTATCTCATGGTAGACACATAACAGTTGCCGAATTATATCTGTATGAGTGCTACCTTTGTACAAATCACAATCGAAAATAAAACTGAGCAAGTACCAAGTCATAAAATAAAGAGATGAAGGACATCAAATAACTAATTTTATACAACTTAAAAAACACAAACTGCTTACCTTTTCCCCAAGACAACGTATGTCCAGGGGAGTCAAACTCTGGAATGACTCGAATCCCTCGTAATCGAGCATATTCAAGCACCATACGGACATCATTTGGTGTATAAACATGTGACAAAGAATAGCTTCCCTGTAACAGCCATAGATATTAAGATTAAAGTACGAAAAGTAGATTTTGTCCTAGAAAATATCAACAATTCTATTTACACTTGGATATCTGATGTATGTACAATGTAACAATGTATTAAATAGTCTGTGTGATGCTGAATTACTCATTTAAAAATAACATAGTACACATAGTTTCTGGAACAGAAAGTGAATTTCTACTAAATCACATACATCCAAAGAATGAAATATCATTTTGGAATTTGTTTACTTGTCAAACATTTGATTACTTATTTTATAACTAAACTCTCACTTGTTGTTGTTAACTGCATTGAGTCAGTTCCGACTCACAGTGACCCTGTATAGGATTTCTGCACAGCAGCTGGTGGGCTTGAACTGCAGATCTGGGGTCTGTAATCCAGTGCTGATCCTACAGGGCCACATCAGGAGTCTCTAAACTCTCACTACAGTTTGGTTAATCTAAGATTAACAGATAGTTGTGGTGGTGGTGGCTGTGTGCGGTCAAGTCAGTTCCGACTCATAGCAACTCTGAATAGGGTTTCAGAGGCTGAGTACCTTTACGGAAGCAGATAGCCTCATCTTTCTCCAGCAGAGCACCTGGTGGACTTGAACTGCTAACTTTAAGGTCAGCAGTCCAGTGCTTAACCTACTACCCTACCAGCGCTCCTTAGATTAACTCATGTTATTGCTGTTAGTGCCGTCGAGTCAGTTCTAAGTCATAGTGACCCTGTGTAGGGTTTCCAAGGAGTGGCTGTGGGTTTGAACTGCTGACCTTGTAGTTCGCAGTCCAGTGCTTATCCTATAGCACCATACCAGGAGTCCTTAATGATAGCTATTTCCACCAATGCCTCCTATTTAAAAAATGCTGATGATGCTGCTACCTCATTTTACTGTAAGGCTCAATGAAAATAAAATATTTGTCTTCAAAATGAAACATACGAAAACTCCAATTATATTTCCCTTGTCCATTTTAGAATCGAAATGTACAAATTATTACCAAAAATAGCTGCATTTTTCAAAGCCACATGACTACTGAGCTTAAACAGCTTCCTCATACTTTATGACAGACCAGGTTTTAAAAAAAGATTATCCTCAGTTCCTTTTATAAATCAGTATAGAACTCAATACTGGATGTAGCATGTTTCCTAAGGGATGGACTGACTGTATGTGCTCAACTCATAAAAAACAGTCTCTCTCACCCTTCTCCACAATCAAATGTGTGTCTCATCAAAACTAGCTCTAACTACCAATTCACAGGAAATGCAGGGCTAGGAGAACATGCTAAGTGGTACCACAGGCATGATGTAGTTGGGAAATTACAGGACAAATGACTTGCTTTCTTCAACAACAAAAACACACTACAAGGGAAAAAAAAGTTTTTAAAAAAGAGAGGACTGATAGATCAAAAGAGAATTAACAGATTAACTGGGGATTTTCATCTCAATCCAAATGTTTTTTATTTCAAAAAAAAAAAAGGGGGAGATGGGAATACTGATTGGCTATTCGGTGATATTAAAGTGATGTTAATTTTTTTTACATGTGTGTGATAATGGTGTTATAGTGTATTTTAAAGCCTTTTTACAGGTGAGATAAGTCCGGGATTTGCTTTGAGCGGGCAAGTCAATGGGAATTAGGTGATTCAGAATTGTCCATGAACTGATCAATTTAGCTGTCTGTGTTTCCATACGTAAAACAAAAGCAAATAAAGACACAAGTACTACTAGCATTTAGCTTATATTACATCATAGTCTTGGAGAAAGCTTTGGGGTTATGAGCAGATAACAACCTTTAGGGTTCTGGCTCTGCCCTTCGCAGTTGTGCAACTTTGGGATAAGATGCGTAACTTTTCTGGATATCAGCTACTTTCTGTGTTTTAGGGGATTAAACTAGGTGATACTGAGGATCCGTCTCAGCTCCACTGGGCTACATACAGTACAATCAATTTGAACACTTCCAACCAAGACCACCATTTTCTAAGAAATTGCTCTCATCTCTAAAATTCCCTACTTAGATGCTTTTTCCAAGAGGGAAAAAAAAATGTCATTTATAGAATTCCAAATGGTTCTACTTAGAACAAATATATAGCTGGACACTTGGTAAATATAACATCTTACCCTTATGCTATAATTAAATGCTTCAGGTCTCCTATATTAAGTTTTTGAAAATTATATTCATATTTTCCAGACACTTAAAAATAACCCAAAAGCAAAAAGTTTTATGGATCCAAGATGCTAAACCATTGTCCAGTTGAAACATTGAATTTTTAAAGAAACATTTAAGCTACAAACTTCTTATGAAATGATCCCTGAAATTTTTGTAGACAGAGAAAACAGTAACAGAACTACTCACTCTGTTGCTTAACTCAGGAAAAGTGATGCTCTGGAAAGGGAACGACTGGTCGTCAACGATATGCCAGTGGAGAACATTGAACTTGTTGAAAGACATGGCGTCCTGCAAACAAACATGTGACACAGTGATGGCACACTAGATGGAATACACAATCTGAATGACACATCCACAGTCACATTGCTTCCAGTACTTCTGCTTCCTTTCAAAACAGTTTTCCTCAAAGGAAGAATAAGGACAAACTATAAGTTCTGTAACTTACATATTTTACATGGCATGTCAGGATTCAAAACACGTACAAAGAACTGCTGTTTATTCTAGACAGCGAGCTGTGGCTGTACTTTATGGCAGAAGTACTACGTGTTACATCCCAGTGCGAAATTAGAGGCTTTCCAAGAATGGACACTACTTCTCTGCTATTGCTCGGTTAGGAAATGGAGCAGAGGAAGTAAAGCATTCATTGTAAGTACCACAATTCTGAATGTGGGTCCAATCCTTATTAATGAAAAAAATTCAGTACAAATGCAGTACAATGTCAACAAATATCCCCAAAGAAATTTGGGGGAGAATTGACATTGATTTTACATATTCTCTGGAAGAATAAACAATATATGTATATAAACTATAACTGTTTTTTTAAAGATTTGTAAATGGAAGGGAATTTTGCCTTTCAGATATCAAAACCGAAGCGCCTCTCTTCCCCTTCATCTCAGCTGAAGAGATCTGGTGGATGCAGTTGGGAAATAGGTTATGTGCAAGGGTCATTCACAAAGACTTGCTAGTGAATGACAGCTTGATAAGGAAGGGCAGTTTCAAAGTATCTCTACAAGATAATCATGGACTTACTAATAAGTACAAAATGTGTTTTAATTTACAGTGGAGCTATCTGACAGATAACATCACAGCCAAATGATAAAGTTAACATCCCCAGTAATGGGATCCACAGACATCGTGCCACCTGAGAGGATGCACTGAGAAGAACACAGCACCACTTCTGTTTTCTCTGTGCCTAAAATGCAAAACCCAAAGCTAATCATGGGGAAATAGACAAGCCCAAATGGATGTGTATTTGGAAATGGAACTGGCCTCTAAAACGTCAAGGTCTTAAAAGACAAGGAAATATAATTGGTTTCAGATGCTGCTGGCTAAAGAGACATGGCAAGGAAAGGCAACATGGGATTCTAGACTGGCTCCTGCGTCCACAGAGGACATGATGGACAACATTTGAATGGGCCTTGTAGTGCTGGGTCTGTTTCTGGATTTGATGGCTGTACTGATGATGCAGTCACTTAGATGAATGTCCCTGCGTGGGAGAAATTCCAACTGAAATACTAACTTTCAGGGAAAATATATGTAAATACATTGTTGTTAAATGCCGTTAAATCAGTTACAACTCACAGCCACCCTGTATAGGATTTCCAAGGAGCGACTGTTGAGTTTGAACCACTGACCTTGTGATTCAACCCGACCTTGCAGTCCTGTGCTTTATCCAGTAGAGCCATACCAGGACTCCATATATAAATAGAGAGAGAATAAAGCCAATATAAATTGTTAACAACTGGGATGGCTGACTGAAGTGTATGGGAATTATTTTTATTCTTCTATTTTTCTGAAGTTGTTTCAAAATGGAAAATAAATAAATAAATAAAGCTATGGAAATCAAAGCCATAACATACTGTCCCAAGTAAACAAACTGATAAATATAACTAGACCTAGAGTTCAAAGAGTTGTGGTATGGCACTGCAGGATAATGCGCTGGACCGCAAGCTCAGTTTGAACTGCAAGGTCAGCAGTTCAAACCCACCAGCCACTCCCTGGAAACCCTATACTGGGTCACTATGAGTTGGACCCAACTCTCTGGCACTTAACAGCAAGAAAGAGTTCAAAAACTGACTTGTGTATTAATGAGAATTTAGTATTTGATATTCGTGAAATTGAAGCCTGGAAAAATTATAAACTGCTCAGAAATAATATTGGTGCAATTGACTAAGCATTTAGAAAAACGAATACTAAAATACCTATCATTTGCAATCCACTAAAGTAAATTCTAACTGAATTTAGTAAGAAAAAGGAGACTATTAAAATGTGAGTGGTTATTTGTATAATTAAAATCTTGTAGAAAAGGCCTTTCTTAGCATACCTTCAAAAGCGAGAAACCATGAAAGATAAGATTGAAAGATACTATTTCATAAACACTGAAAACTTCTACAAGGGGGTTTCAAAAAGTTCATGGAAAAATGGAATTAAAAAATAATGGAATTTTTTTTGTTGCGGCCCCCTCGTAGAGGCAAAGACACTGTAAACATCGTTTAATAAACAAATATGGAAAACCTTCACAATATATGATGGGATGGACAGATACACAGCTGAACTGGTATGGGAGGGAGAGTGGGAATATACCCACAAATCACAGCAGCCCTGGAGGACACAAATCCTATGGGGTTTCCAAGCTGTAAATCTTGACAGAAGCAAATGGACACATCTTTTTCCCACAGAACAGCTGATGGATTTGAGTGCTCAGCCACTGCAACTGAAAATTATGCTTTCTCTTAACATTCGTGACTGAATAGATGTTGTAGCCCACACAAGAGAAACAGGAGAGCAATCCGTAAGGAGAAACCTCTCCACAACTGAGAAAATACACTTCCCGAGGGAAGACAGGGAGAGAAGGAAGCCCAGCGCTTAACTATTTAATACAGGAACAATGAATACGCCTGTGTCAACCTACACATGTAAGTAATGAAACATCATGTAACAGCAGACGGAGGACAGATTTTCAGAATGGACAATGCATTAGATGAATCACATAAACTACTTACCAATGTTTTAAGAATAGTCTTAACTGGCAGATAGTGTCTGGATGTATCGATTAAAATTCCTCTATGAGGAAATCTTGGTGAATCAATAATGGTGGACTCACTGATGGTGAACTGCAATACAAAAGTTGGATTGATCCTTAGAATTTGTTTTGTGCGCAACAGACTATAAGTATTGGATAAAAGCTATTTGGAAGTGCTCAGAAAGGTAAAATTTACAGTTAACTGCAAAGATAAACATTTGGGGAAAAGACCTTCAGGGAGTAACAGTCACACAACTTAAATTTTTAATTTTAATGATAGTATGACCAGGCAAGAATCTTAACATAATAACCATACTTACAGTCCCATAAGAATCTTGAACAATTAACTGGCTAAAGGTCTCTAAACCTAGGGAAAATGAAATTATGGTGTTAAATTTATACAATTGTCGTATCTAAATGTATACCTGTAATCAAGTAAGGCAAAAAAAAAAATGAAATGCTATACCTACATATCCTCTACCCGCTAACATTTTCTGAAAACAAAGCTCAATTAGAAAACTTATAATCCTGTTGCTTTCTTTTATACTTCTTAAAACGTTCACTTTCTTTGTACCCATACGCTGGGTTTTGTTTGGATCATACACTCTTAAAGATTTAATATAACACCTGTTCCTTAATTTGTAACATTATGAAAAAGAATTTTTTGATGAAATATTGTAGTCACTTTGTTGTTGTTGTTGTTGTTGCTATGTGCTGTGGAGTCAGTTCTGACTCATAGCGACCCTGTACAGGGTTTCCGAGGCTGTAAATCTTTACAGGAACAGAAAGCCTCATCTTTCTCCCACGGAACAGCTGGTAGTTTCAAACTGCTAACCCTGAGGTTCGCAGCCCGAGAAGGTACCTAATCTTAACAGAGGAGGAAAGCACTCAAAAACAAAAAACAAAAAAAAAAAAAACCGTTACATGAAAATAAAGGCCCAATTTATAACTTACAGTGTTTTACATGTAACTACAAAGACTGTTTTCTGAACATCTTTTTCTCAAGTGGACTGTTTTCCTTCACACTTACGCTATATGCAAATTCCTCTAACTGACCTTGACTTTATCAAGGTTCATCTGTTGTTAAGTGCAGTTGAGTCTGTTCCGACTCATAGAAACCCTACATAGGGTTTTTGAGGAGCAGCTGATGAGTTTGAACCACCGACCTTTTGGTTCCGTGCTTGTCCTACAGCACCACACCAGGACTCCAAGGGTCATCTAACAACTATATGGTGGCTGTGTGCCGTGGAGTCAGTTCCAACTCATAGCGACCCTGCACAGGGTTTCCGAGGCTGTGAATCTTAACCAGAGCAGAACGTCTCATCTTTCTTCTGTGGAACAGCTGGTAGTTTCGAACTGCTGACCTTGCGGTTGGCAGCCCAATTTGTAACCACTGCACTACCAGAGCTCTCTCTATATATATAATCAGGGAAATTTATAACTTAATAGTTCAAAGTCTTTTTGTTGTGTCCTTTTCACACCCCAGTTACAGCCTTACTGAAGAATTACTGGAATGTTCGACTAAGTGGCAGCACATTCTAATACCAGTTTAGAGGAAGTTACTTTGAAAGTCTGATGGGGAACAAAAAGTAAAAGACTTCTTGGATTAGTATCTATGGTCACTGCATACTCTTTAAAGTTCTTTCTCTATTTTGATATGGGTCAGCACAAACATGAGTTACATTTATTATAGATATTTGAGATTGTTTTGTTCAATTCTGAAAAAGAGGAAGATCCTAATGAGTTGGGCTGACACAGTGTCTGCAACAGTGAGTTCAAACAGAGCAACAGTTGGGAGGCTGGCACAGAACTGGGCAGTGCTTCGTTCTACTATAATATATAAGGTCACTATGAGCCAGAACTTAACATTTTGAATTAAGATTATAATCATACCATTACTATGACTGTAAAAATACAGCATAAAGATGATTATTTTACTTTAGATAATACTTCCCTTGGACTCCTGGTGTGACACTGTGGACTGTGAACCACAAGGTCAGCAGTTCAAACACACCAGCTGCTCCTCGGAAACACTAAATGGTCACTATGAGTTGGAACTGACTCGATGGCACTTAACAACAATACTTACCCTAAGCCATATTCAAAGATTGTTTTTTATTGTTAATTACTATACCTTTGGACTCCTGGCGTGGAGCTGTAGGATCAGCACTGGACTGTAAACCACAAGGTCCAGCAGTTCAAACTCACCAGCTGCTCCTTGGAAACCCTATGCAGGGTTGCTATGAGTCAGAACCAACTTGACAGCACTTAACAACTATAGCTTTGGTTAGCGTCCACTAAAGAAAAATATTTTCCTTCTTAAAAACTTGTTATTTGGAAGATAATATCTATACAGTGGTGGTACAAGATGCTTTTGAACAGCAAATATAAATAGCCCAGTGCCCAAACTTTTGAGTTCAGATCCTGAAATTTATAGGAAAAGCTTTTAAGGTTCTTTTCTGCCTCCAAAACCTCTAGAGCATGTTTACCTTTCCACACATGTGCAGGTAACAGTTTCAAATCCAGACTAATTTACCATTGTTGTTGTTAAGTGCTGTTGAGTCGGTTCTGACCCTTAGTGACCCTATATAGGGTTTCCAAGGAGCATCTGATGAGCTTGAACCGCTGATCTTGCGGTTCAAACTGACCCTGCAGTCCAGCGCATTAACCCCCAGTGCCACACCAGGGCTCCCAAGTGAACATGGGGAAAGGGAAATTCTTGGTAGTGAAGGCAACAAGACGTGCCAGCTGATAGATACCCCTTATCAGGGCCGGTTGGGGCCCTTTATACTCTGTGTTCCAGTCTCAGGTGTCTCATTTCTATAGCACTGTGGAAATATAGCAGCAAATTTTAAAAGGTCAAATGATGTTTCTCTTGTATTTTAAGTTATTAAGTGCCATCCAGGACGGTTCCAACTTAGCAACCCTGTATAGGTTTCCAAGGAGCGACTGGTGGGTTTGAACCACCAACCTTATGGTTAGCAGTCCAGTGCTTATTCTATAGCACCAGACCAGGACTGTGTTTTAAATAATATCTGTATTTAATGGAAAATGTTTTGGAACTACCCAGCATTCATTCTATACCTTTTTTTTTTTTTTAACCAAATCCACTTGTAGAATGCAATGTTTTGGTACACCTGATTTCACAAAGCAACAACTGAAAATATTCCTTTACTGTCAAAAACAATGGTGAAACTGCAGAGAACTTACCTCGTAATGCTCCCCAAACTTTGTTAGCCTTCAGCATTGCCACTGGTTCTTTCACAAGTAACGTGTCTGTTGGGGAGGAATGCAAGGATTAAAGTGAACTGAGGTAGAGACTATTAACTGATGGTACATGTAGGGGACTGTAAGTCATTGGAAGGAAATGAAGTACATGATTTGTTGAATGTGAAACTAATCTGAAAACCTTAACTCAATTCAAAATAAAAAGTTTTAAAAGAGAAAGAAATGTCAAACAAAAAGAAACTGTGGTGAAAATAAAGATACATATTTTTTTGATTATTAATCCTTCAATGACTCACCATAAATTTCCTAACCACATAAATGGTATTTCTGAATCTTTTTTTTTTCCTCCCTGAGATCCAGACTTATTTTCCAGTGGCTTCCTGTACACTTCCACTTAGACATCCTGTGCTGTTGTTGTCAAATGTCATCAAGTTGGTTAGGACTCATAGTGACCTTGCGTAGGATTTCTGAGGAACAGCTGGTAGTTCAGAGACAGGGCTGATCCCACAGTGTCACACCATGAGCCCTGTTAAATTCCACCTGCCCCAAACTGGAGTCTCCCTCCTACCTGTTCCACACACTTTCAACCTGCCTGTCCTCTGGTGGCCCTCATTTCTGTAAGTCAGGACCACCAGCCAGCCAGTTCAGTTAGTCAAGTCAGATGCTATCCTCAGGTTCCTCCCTTTCCCCTCCAGGAGATTTAGTCCCTCCAGCTGCCTCTCAACAGCGTCCTAGATAAAGTCCTAGGACTTTATTCCTCAGGTGCACAAGACGCAGCGGGAGGAGCCTCAGACACCTCAATCTTCTGCTCCCCTAAGTCCACAGTCCACTCTTTTTCCTTCTCTGCTCCTCAACTTGCCCTACACCATCTTCCCACAATAGCATCCTGAATCAACCTTTAAACCTTCTCCTTTTTGTTTGACATTTCTTTCTCTTTTAAAACTTTTTATTTTGAATTGAGTTAAGGTTTTCAGATTAGTTTCACATTCAACAAATCATGTACTTAATTTCCTTCCAATGACTTAATCCAAGATTTTATCAGTCTTTGATTCCTCTCAGTAAAAAGCTTCTGGGCAAGGAAGGGGTTAATCTTTTTTTGTTTGTTTGTTTTAATGTTTATTGTGAATTATTTGATAATTTGCATGGGATGAGAGAACATTAGCTTTACATTCATCCTATCATATACCGTTTCATTGCCATGGTTACAGTCCCTCCATGCATCATCAACCAACCAAAGGATATAGGATATACCCTGAAAGCTTGTCCCCCCCACCCTGGTCGTCAGCACACAGCCCCTCTCCCTCTCTGGGTCTAGAGTCCCCAGCTGCGCCATCTCTCCATGTCATCGTCTCTGCCTCCATCTCTGGTGTCACTGCTTCCCTGGGTAGGGTCCCACACTCGGCTCTTCTGCCTTGATGGTCCCAGGGACCTCTGTACCTGGACTGTATTGTCAATCACTCCCCTCCTTTTGCTACAAAATGTCTACCTTTACATTTCCAACCCCCACAATCAGTCCTGATAACAATTATTCACCATTGTACCATAAGGAACCTATCTCCATCTCCTTTCATTAGCCCCGCTCAGACAGATTGGATACTACTCACTGGAGATTCTACCTTCCTCTGGGTTCTAGGTTCCCTCTTGAAAGCTTATAAGCCAGTCACTTCTTGCCTTTGTAGCCCCCCTCCCCCCATTTTGGGGGGCATCTTTAATATTTGAAACCATACTCTGAAAACTTGGCCCAATAGCCATTTTAGTGTTTTAGAGAGGCTGGGGATGAGGTCAACCCCTGATTAAGTGAAGCACCAGAGGGGAAAGGGAGAAACCAAGAGCTCAAGGGTGTGACAGATATGGACTTTGCCACAAGGAAACACTGCAGGGCTGGAAGTTAATGATTTAAGTACTGACCATCACCCTCCACCACCACTGCCACCCAAACTGTCACAGGATAATTGGTGTGAGTAGGGAAAAGAACTTTCTGAACAGCTAACCATCACATGATCATCTCAGACAATAAGTAGTCTTCTGAAAAGGGAGCCTTTTCCATCAGAAGATAACAGCGATGACTTAGCTAATTGGCAGGCTGAAAAATATATTGTGATTATGGGTAAAATCTTATCATGTCTCCTCTACACCTATATCAAAATCAGGAGCTTAGAATACATGCTTTCATTGTTCTCTGGTTGGAAAACATTTTTTACATGTTACGTTTTCAGATCACCCAGAAATAGCAGAGTCATCTAGAAACATTAATATGTTGTACTCATCAGTATTTGACACTGATGATTTTCTAGTTGCTGAGAACTGGCTGATACTAAAAAGGATTCTAACTTAACTTATTCGTGGGAAAACCACAAATAAACACAAACACGGAGATCTGACTGTCTAAATGTATAGACACAAACTATAAAACAGTGATCACTCTGATGGGAAACAGGAGTGGCACTGGGGTCTTTGACTTGTCAGGTTATTTCCTTCAGTACTTTCTGAACCATGAATGCTTCTTTGTTTGTTATGGAGGACATAAGAGATGCAAATGATGTAGCATAATGTATCAATATTTGCCCTTTAAAATACTAAAGGATAATAAAGCTAGAATGCCCTTTGAGATGCTCACCCAATCCCCTGTTTTCCTCAGAGGAAACCCCTACAAGGCCTATTCCTAGGCATTTACATGAGTCCTGGTGTGGTGCTGTGGGCTAATGCATGAGACTGCAAAGTCCTTTTAACTGCCTGCAAGGTTGGTGGTTCAAGCTCACCAGCTGCTCCTTGGAAACCCTATACAGGGTTGCTATGGGGCAGAATCAGCTCGACAGCACTTAACATGTGGAACAAGAAAATATATTTTATGGGCATGTGTATTATGTGATAATACATACATAGTATCCAGCTGTTGACATCATACAACTGTCTTTGTTAATCTCAGCAGTTTATCTTGGCAAGCTCTGTATTTATAGCTCAGTTTCATTATTCTTAAATGGTGGTATAGCCCTCTTTAGTGTAGATTGATACCATTTATTTTGCCTGTATTCTATTGATGGACATGTTTTATTGACAAGTTTTCATTACTTCACACAAGCTGAAGTCCTGGTGTGGTGCTGTAGAGTAAGCACTAGACTACTAGCTAACCACAAAGTCAGCAATTCAAACCCACCAAGTACACTATACAGGGTGCCTATACAGGGTGCCACGAGTCAGAACCAACTTGACAGCACTTGACAAAAACACCACCACCACACAAACTGCATGAAATGGCCTTGATCGATGTAACCATTTCTCTACAGTACAGATTAGTCCACTTCCAGTTCTGAGACATCCATTTTTGAATATTTCTAATAGCTAGCACTTCACTTTGCATTTCCTTCAATGTCTTCTCACTCTCCAGACACCATCTGACATCGTACTATTTTAGTGCGGATGTCTTACTTTTATAATCATCATAGTTTAGAAACTTAAAACTAGTTTATCCACCAGCCAGAAAATTTCTTCTTCACCTTGCCTCAAGAAGCTTGTCATTCAGAATAAAGACAGTTTGCAGACCTGGCTGGCAGGCAAACTCATGACTCTTCTTAATCTCAAAACATTCCATCTTCTGGAATTTACAACAAGTCATTTGAAGTGAAGCCAGTAAAGATTCCTCAGTAATTTAATGGCCAGTGCGTTCTCAATTCCGATTGCAAAACTGAATTCATCTAGTGTCTGAATGCCGAATGCACAGGCGCACTTTACTACACCGGAATTGTCCCCCCACCATCTCCGTAGCTACAGATGGGCATAGTTACTAAATGGTACAACCAGCTGCTCCACAGGAGAAAGATCCAACAGTTTGCTTCCACTAAGGTTTACAATTACAGCCTCGGATACCCTCTGGAGCAGTTCTACTCTGTCCTTTAGGATTGCTATGAGTCAGAACCAACAAGGGTGATGGATACCAAGTAAAATACCTGTCTTAGGAGGAGCTGACTCTTAAACTATCTTAGTGGGGTAAAGGACACCCATTGGTTGGAGATTAGCTGATCAGGAGATGGTTACCCATCCTGAAGGGGGCAATGAGTAATGTCCATGGCCTGAGGGGGCCTTCCACTTTGATTACCCCTTTCACCTTTTGTTACTCCTTCCCCCTACGTACTCTCTGTATCTGCTGTTCTGCACACTGCCATGGCTGCTTGCTAGTACGTTGACCCCAGGGAGGGAAGGGCTTTGACATGCTTCTATGGTGAGAAGATGGGCGTGCATTGATACAATAGAACACTACACCCCGGAACGGGAGCCCAACCTTGACTGATGAAGATGGTTGCTCTTCTACTTATCCTTGTTCTGTCTGTTCTATGAGTAATAAACTCCAGGCCATCATGCCTTGAGAACAGTGACTGCTTGTACTATCCTGCCAAAAGTCCTCACTGAGAATTTGTGAATACAGTGCATTGCACTGAGTATCAATTGAAATCATATGACTGATATTGGTAAATTATCCCATTCTTTTAAGAGAAGCTACAGAATTGAAGAGACATGAAGTTATTTTCAAAGGAAGGAGGTGTACGTAACTTACAGGGAGTCTGAGGACAAGGATACCCTCTCCATCTTTAAATCCAATTCACCAGTGTGCTCTTTCTGGTCCTAACATTCTATTACCCATATATTCCCATTTTGCCTGTGCTCCTTTTTGAGTCCACATTGCTTCCCACCAATACACCTGCCCACTTGTTTATTCCCTCTATAACAATGTTTTTGTTAGAATAATGTTTTAATCCATGAAATATATAGCTAAATATTGATTATACAGTTGACCATAGAACATCGGTTTGAACTGCACACAGTAAAACCCATGTGGGTTTTGTTTAAATGCCATGTGACACAAAATTATCTCCATGTGAGCAGTTAGTTGTCATTCTAGTAAGTTGCATATGTTAGTAAATACTACCTCTAGTGGTTCTTGCATATCTTTCATTGTTTACCATGATACTATAAAGCTTCAATAGAACCAGGGGACTTATACGAAGTGCCTCCCGTGATGCTGGAAATGGTCCCAAGAGGCAGAGAAAAGTCATGCCATCACAAGAGAAAGCTGAATTGCTTGATATGTGCTATCGATTGAGGTCTGCAGCTGCACTTGCCTGTCATTGCAAGATGACTAAATTCAGCATAAGGACCATGGATAAAAACGAAAAAAGAGAGTTTCATGAAGCCATCACTACACCTATGCCAACAGGCACAAAAAAAACCATGCACTTTTTGCAGAATAACTTTTTATCTCATTGACACTACAGCTTTTAAGTAGGTGCAGTATATAATACATTTTGCTGTTAAGTGCATCTCGATGTAAAGAAAACAAAAGTCCTCACCACTGGACCAATAAATAACATTCTTATCAACAGAGAAAAGATTGAAGTTGTCAAAGACTTCATTCTTCTTGGATCAACTATCAACACTCACGGAAGCAGAAGTTAAGAGAGCAAATGAAGCATTGCATTAGGCAAATCTACTGCACAAGACCTTTATAAAGTGTTTAAGAGCAAAGATGTCAGCTTGAGGACTAAAGTGCGCCTGACCTAAGTCATGGTATTTTCAGTAACCTCATATGCATGCAAAAACTGAACAGTGAACAAGGAAGATCATAGAAGAATTGATGCTTTTGAGTTATGGTGTTGGAGAATATTGAAAGTGCCTTGGACTGCCAAAAGAACCAACAGATCTGTGTTGGAAGAAGTGCAGCCAGAGTGCTCCTTGGAGTCCAGGATGGCCAGGTTTCATCTCTCATACCTCAGACATATTGTCAGGAGGGACCAGTTGCTGGAGAGGGATATCATGTTTGGTAAGGTGGAGGGTCAGAGAAAATGATGAAGATCCCCAGTGAGATGAATTGGCGAAGTGGCAGCATAAATGGGCTCAAACGTGGCACCAATTATGACGTTGGCCCAGGATTGGGCAGTGTTTCATTCTGTTGTACATGGGGTCACTATGAGTCGGTACCGACTCGATGGCACTTAACCCCAATAACAAGTACTGTTGAGTGGGTTCCAACTCATAGAGACAGACCCTGTGCAGCTTCTCAGGAGTAGTGCGTTTGAACCACTGACCTTGAGGTTCGCAGTCCAGTGTTTATCCTACAGCAGTACACCAGGATCCCATATAATATGTGTAACATACAAAATATATTTGTTGTTGTTGTTGTTAAGTATCGTGGAGTTGGTTCCGACTCATAGCGACCCTGGTACAGGGTTTCTGAGGCTGTAAATCTTTACAGGAGCAGAAAGTCTCATCTTTCTCACGCTGGAAGAGCTGGTAGTTTCCAGCTGCAGACCTTGAGGTTAGCAGCCTGATTCATAACTACTATGCTACCAAAGCACCTTATATTTAAAATGAAATATATTTCATTAACTGTATATATTATCGGTAAGGTTTCTGGCCAACAATAGGCTATTAGTAAAGTTTTTAGGGAGTCAAAACATATAGTGGATTGTGCAGGAGGTCAGCATCCCTAACCCCCCTGCATTGTTCAAGGGTCAACTGTACTATCCAATGGTCTGGGGGGGACCTCCCACTTTGATTACCCTTTACCTTTTGTTACTCCTTCCCCCTACATACTCTCTGTATCTGCTGTTTGGCACACTGCCATGTGTGGAAATAACTCCATTTTCCCAAGTAATCTTTTGTCAAATGAGATTATAAATATAGGTCATGGATATAAGCACAGATTTGCTTCACAGATAATGGTTTTTAGGAAACCATTTAGATGTCCCTAAATAAGGGATTGGAGTCCTGGTGTGGCGCTGTGGGCTGATGCTTCAGACTGCAAAGTTTTGCTTCACAGATAATGGTTTTTAGGAAACCATTTAGATGTCCCTAAATAAGGGATTGGAGTCCTGGTGTGGCGCTGTGGGCTGATGCTTCAGACTGCAAAGTTGTTTGTACTGCAAGGTCGGTGGTTCAAGCTCACCAGCTGCTCCTTGGAAACCCTATACAGGGTCGCTATGGGTCGGAACCGACTCGACAGCATTTAACAACTACAACAAATAAGGGATTAGCCATAAGGCATACCCATAGGGTAGTGCAAACCTGAAGTTGTTAAGTGATGTTGAGTCGGTTCCAACTTAGTGACCCTGTACAGGGTTTCCGAGGATCCAGGTCGTAAGCTTGAAACACTGACCTTACAGCTCAAATTGACTTTGATGTCCAGCGCATTAACCCACAGCATCACACTACTCAGCCATTAAAAATTATAGTAGAATAGTGAAATACATAATGTTCATAATGTATTATATGGAAAAAACACAATACAAAAACCACATATACAAAATGACTTCATTTTATATTAATGTTTACCATGTATTTGAAGAAGCCTGGTGGAGCAATGGTTAAGTGTTCTGCTGCTTACCAAAAGGTTAATGGTTCAATTCCACCCAGCAGCAATGTGGGAAAAAGACCTGGTGATTTGCTCCTATAAAGACTGTTGTTGTTAGAGCCGTCAAGTTGGTTCTGACTCAGCAACCCTGTGTAGAGTTTCCAAGGAGCAGCTGGTGGGTTTGAACTGCCAACCTTGTGGTTCCCAGTCCAGTGCTGATCCTATAGCGCCATACCAGGAGTCCTAGAAAATCCTATGGGCCAGATGAACTCTGTTATATGCGGCTACTGAGTCGGAATCAGCTCAACAGTACCTAACAACAACTACATCATATAGTCATATAAAACATAAACATATGAGAGGGCTTTAGAAAGTTCATGGAAAAATTCCATGATCTTTTAATTCTATTTCTTCATGAACTTTTTGAAGCTCCTTCGTATTAGTATGCAAAAACACATGCCTGACGACCGGGGGGCAGGCTTGTAGTGTATACCTTTTGGTTGGGTGATGATGCATGGAGGGGATTGTAACCAAGGCAATGAAATGATATATGATAGGATGAATGTAAAACGAATGTTATCCCATGTAAACTATCACATAATTCACAATAAAACATTAAAAACAAAACAAAAACACATGCACCTGCAATCACAGTGATTAACTCTGAGCAGTGGGGATTATAAATGATTTATTTCCTTTTATTCTGCACTTAGTGTACTTTCAAATTTTCCCCAAAAGCAGTTATGCAACACTTATCTATCATCAGACTTTAAGTGCTATATTTAAAAAAGGAAGCAGAAACTCCCTGACCTAAGACTCCCAATAGTTGTTGGCAGTGAGCTTGTTTCTGGTACTCGGGTCTGCAGTGCACAGCGCTGCAAATAGCAGTCTCTGATTCGGTGGGTACTTACATGACTCATCAGATGTGATACTGGGGTAAGTGTCACATTCTGAGTCTAGGACAGTCGTGACAAGAAGTTGCTTTAACTCGGTTCCAGGTTGAATTCTAGTAGGGCCAGGGCGTTGTTTGTAGAAACCAAAAATATATTCATAATATCTGTGTGAGAAAGAAATTAAATTAAAAAAAAAAATGGAAGCATGTCAGGGCAGATTTCACGTGTATATATATGTGGTAGTGAACACTGTAAGGGGTCCTGGTGATGCAGTGCTTAAGTGCTCAGCTGCTACCCAAAAGACTGGCAGTTCGAACACACGAAGCCACTCCAAAGGAGAAAGACCTTTGGAAAGCTTTTGGAAAGATTACAGTCTAGGGAACCATATAGGGCAGTTTTGTGCTGTCCTGTTATTGTGAAGTGCCGTCGAGTTGGTTTTGACCCATAGCAACCCTGTATAGGGCCAAGGAGCAGCGGGTAAGCTTGAACACCGACTTTGTGATTCAAGCTGACCTTGCAGTCCAGCGCATTAACCCACAGCAAGCGCCACACCAGGACTCCGTCCTGTGTCCTAGAGGGTCATTCAATGTGAGAATGAATTCGAAAGCAATGGGTTTTGGTTAGTAGACATTGTAGTTGAATTCCAAACCCAAGCTATCCACTGGAGTCTCTCAGCCCACGTTGTGTATTAGAATTGTCTCGGGACCTTGTGGGAAATTCCAATGTCCAGACATAAAGAATCTGAATCTTTAAAGACGGGGATCCAAGAGTGAGGATTTTAAAGTTACCTCCCTCGTCCCTCCTGGTTCAAACCAACCACAGTAATCCCATCCCTCTTGGGTATATGGACCAATTCTGACAAATGAAGAGTGAGGGTGAGAGTGGGGACAGTATTTCTAGAAATTTTCCTAAGAGAGTCACAAGAAAAGAGTTTCTCGGCTTTCTCTGTATAGGTGAGACTGAAGCAGTTGCAGCCACACTGAATATGGCAGAGTACAGACAGAAAGAACACTGTTCTCTGATGACCTGTGAATCACTTACTCAACCAGTTTTAGGGACACACTAAAATCATCCCTACCATTCCACTTCCTCATACATAAGATAATGAGTTTTCTTATTGTTTGCTCTAGATGAAGTCAGAGTTCCTATGGCTTGCCACCAATAGCATCCCAGCTGAGACAGCAACCCCACAAAAGATGATCATCAACCCACAGAATTCTCACTAGCTTTTAAAATTTACCTTTCGTGGGTACCCAAGTATCAGAGAATGTTGGGGGTGGGGGAATGCAAAGGTGTTAAAGGATAAAACTAACAGGCTCTCAAGCAGTTAAGTCATATTTCCTAGATTTTTGTAAGGCAGGAGTTTGTATATGAAGGAGCTCTGGTAGCGTAGTGGTTACAAGTCGGGCTGCTAACTTCAAGGTCAACAGTTTGAAATTACCAGTTGTTCCGCGGGAGAAAGATGAGGCTTTCTGCTCCCATAAAGATTTACAGCCTCAGAAACCTTATCTAGGGTAGCTATGAGTTACAACCGACTCCATGGCACATAATCCCCACCACCCCCAGCATGGGGTGGACCCTGTTCTAGAACCTTAGGTAGCAGCTGTGCACATATTGGGTTCTTAAAGGTAAGAGCCATAGGATGCTGCACCATCTGGGATTACCTAGGATTCCCAAACACTCCCGCTGTGTGTTTAAGTCCTAACCCCATGCGTTTTCACTAGGAGGTAGATGCTCCCTCTCCTGCTCCTAGAAAGCTCACCTGAATGCCATCAGGTCTTAGCTATAAAGGCCAATTAATATGTTTTATGATCTGCTTCCTAACAATGCAGGGTGTAATTAATAGCTTCTTAACATATAGGCCATTAATTAGTTAGGCAAACTCTTCAGACAATTCCTATACCTGCAAGGAAATGCCAAGCCTTGTTTCTAAATCATCTTACAGCTGATTCAACTACTGGTTATCTGCTATTGTTCATTTATTTGTCAAACTCGTATCACTTCAGCGTATTACTAAATCCTTTATGTTTTTTCTAGCATTATGGCATAGAAGGAAATTTTTATTTTACAAGCTGAGCCCTAAAGCAAAGCTGACAAGATTGTTTTTATAAGATTTCCATTCCCAGCTATCATATTCCTTTAGATGACCCTCAAATACTTTTTCATAAAATCCTTCTCAATATCTCAAAGCAACTAACCACTCTGGTTTTATTTCTTCACACAGCTTTCTGATGTGTCAGCAGATTCAATACCACGGGCTCATTAGAGTATGAGTTAAAGCGGAAGGTCACAAAATCCATTTGACGTGTACAAACCAAGAGTGAATGTCTTGGATCTCTTCAACTCAGTCTTAAGCACCAGGAATATATTGGGGCCAGCTCATGCTTTGCAATTTCCCTCAGGTGTTTGGTGTCCTGGAGGTGCACTTAAGCTATAATTATACAGACCAGAGATAGAGATGAGGGGGTGAGGGTAATGAGGCGGCAGTATAGCTAGAACCCAATGACACACCTTCAGGGCACAACCTCCCCAGCCCCAGGACAGTCCTGCCTATAAAGGCCTTATACTGAGGGGGCAGCAAGTGGCATGTCTAACGATCTCCCAAATGTAACCTACCTTGTATACCACATGTTTAGCAAAGTAACACTGTGGCTATCTCCCCTTTATATAGTTCACCATGTCTCTGATACACGGGGTCGCCTGAGTTGGAATCGACTTGAGAGCAACTTAGGGGTCAGAAGGGAGGAAAGGAGGCAAAGAAGGTAGACAGGTGAGAGAACTTTGAAAACATAAAGTGCTAAGGACTCCTGGTGTGGTGCGGTAGGATCAGCACTGGACTGCTCCTCGGAAACCCTATATAGGGTCGCTATGAGTTGGAACTGACTCAACAGCACTTAACAAGCTATTGTTTGTGTGCCATCAAGTCAGTTCCGCCTCAGAGTGACCCCGTATAGGGTTTCCGAGAGCGACTGGTGGGTTTGAACTGCTGACCTTTCGGTTCAGTCCAATGCTTATTCTAACGCCACACCAGGGCTTTTCTAAGGGGTCTGTAAAACAGGAAGCAGAGAAAATAAGCATATAGCTGGTGTTGGGAGGCCGGGAAGCAAGTACTACCTTAATACTGGTCATAGACAAGCAGTTCCAGGAGGGCTTTTAACACCATTTGGAGGAGTTGTTGTTATGTGCCGTGAAGTCGGTTCTGACTCAAAGCAATCTGGTACAGGGTTTCCGAGGCTATAAATCTTTACGGGAGCAGAACGCCTCATCTTTCTCCTGCAGAACAGCTGGTAGTTTCGAACTGCTGACCCTAAGATTAGCAGCCCGATTCGTAATCACTAGGTTACCAGAGCTCCTACCAGACTTGCAAAAAAGGAGATGCCCTACCCAGTGTCCCCTTGGATCGGAATTGCTACCAGACGTTGGGTAGGGGAAAAGAGAGTGAGATGGGCCTATAAATATCCGTTAACTTTTGGGGGACCCTGGTCCCCAAGGAAGGAGCCCTGATGGCATTGCAGGATAAGTACTTGCTAATTGCAGACTCAGCAGTTCAAACCCACCCACCAGCAGCTCTGCGGGGTACAGATGAAACTGCTCAGATAAAGATTTACAGTCTTGGAGAGCCTATAGGAGGAGCATTATGAGTTGGAATCGACTCAGATGGCAGTGGGTTTTTTAGTTTGGTCCTCAAGGCAGGGCTTGTCTCAATATATCAGATGTGCTAAATCTTACTTTTAAGTAGCTCTGGTAGTGTAGTGGTTACGAATCGGGCTGTGAACCTCAGGGTCAGCAGTTCGAAACTACCAGCTGTTCCGTGGGAGAAAGATGAGGCTTTCTGCTCCTGTAAAGATTTACAGCCTTAGAAACCCTGTACAGGGTCGCTATGAGTCGGAACCGACTCCACAGCACATAGCAACAACAACAACAAGTCTTACTTTCAGAATTGTCTTCAGAGCTGGTGGTGCTGTAGATTAGGTGTTGGACTGCTAACCACAAGGTCGGCAGTTCAAACCACCAACCAGAAATGAGGCTGTCTGGTCCTGTAAACATTTACACTCTTGGAAACCTTGTGACACTATGAGTTGGAAATGACTTGATACTGAATAGCAGTAGGCTCACAGAAGTTGCTACTTCCTCCCCAACTCTGGGGAAAGCGGAACCCCTTTACCCACCTCATTCAAGACAAACAAGATCATTGATGTGACCAACCTACTCCTTGCACCCAAGGTCGTGCATCCTAACCAGGGCCCCTAAACACCCAGGAGTCCCTTAGGAGAAGGGGAAGAGCAGCAGAGGAGCTTGGTTTTAACCAGGGTTCACACTGGCTCTGGCATGTTCCGGACCTGTGACTTGGGTCAGTGAAATGGAGCCACAAATACCCACGTAGCTAGGTGGTTGTGAGTGTCTTGAGAGGCGCTTTGGCATTTCTCCCTGTGCTTCCCGCGTCTGCACAGCGTCCCAGGGGTCTGCCCCTCCCGGCCCGAGTCCCGTGCCCCACGGACCACCTCTCGGGGGCACTCACCGCCGAAAAGCCTCTTGCAGGACGATACAGGAGTGGCTGGCCGTAGAATTGGGACCATAGCCGAAGTAGAAGTTCTCCGGGGAGAGGAGTATTTGGCGCGTGGTCGTCTGCACTGAGAGCGGCTGGGGCCACAGGGCCGAGGCGCTCACGGTCTGCACCGTCAGCAGCACGGGCAGCAGCACGGGCAGCATTGGCAGGAACAGCGCGCATCGGGGGCGCAGCGACAGCGGCCTCTGCACCATGGCAGCTCGCTGTTCGGCCGCGTCTGCGGGTCCCGGAGTCTCCCAGACCCGACTCCCCGCCCTCGTCAGGAGTCAGGTGACGGCGCGCTCGGCTCCACCTCCGAGTCACACGCTTCCGGGGCACTGCAGCTCAGCACAGCTGCACACGAATCCCAAATGCGAGCCAGTTCTTATGCACTCCAAGAAATTCCCCGTGCAGAAGCAGAAACCTAACATCAATCCCAAACACCACAGGATGAATAAAGGAAAAAACTTGGGGGCGCCAGCCAGTGCCAGGTTATCTGCCATCTTTGTAACAGTTGGTCTCTCCTGACTGCGATCTGCTTGAATGAAACAAAGTCGCGCATATACAGCACACCCCATTTCTGCCCCCACCCTCCGACCCCTGCCCTAAATACAGATCATGAGATGGCGATGGAGTTTATTTGATCTTAAATCTTGACTTCCTCGAACGACAACGCGGCTTTAATGAATAGAACCTTGCCATGCTACCGCACTAAGGCTGAACAGGTGGGAGGTTAAAATGTATGCAGACGAGATCTGAGGACGAGTTGTGTTTAAGTGCCTTCGAGTAGGTTCCGACCCATAGCGACCCTGTATCGGATTTCCAAGGAGAGGCTGGTGTGCTTGAACCTCCGACCTTGTGGTTCAAATTGACTTAGCAGTGTAGCACATTAACCCACAGCACCACACCAGAATCAAAAGGACTTCAGGTTCAAGCTAATGGGCAGGTGATGATGCAAAGAGGAATATATATGTAACAAGCAATTGATACTGTCAAAGTATAATTTAAAAAGAAAGTAAAAAACCTGATCTATTATGAATAGAATAGAGACGTGTCAAATATTTTATTCAACTCGTTAATTAATGTGGTAATTAGTATAATAAGAGTGGATCAAAGACAACTAAATTCAGCAACGTTAGAATAAAATTACCAAGTTAGGTAAAAAGTTGGTAGGCTTTCTAAAGGAACTCAGCTCTATAAACCTGAGCCTAACGCTTCCCCCTACCCACCCACCCAGAATCTGTTTATAATGAATTCCTAAGAACTAGTTAACTATTTGTTATGTTGTTGTTAAGTTGGTTTCAACTCATAGAGATCCTGTATCACGTTTTCTAGGAGCAACTAGTGGGATTGAACTGCCGACCTTGTAGTTAGCAGTCCAGTGTTTATCCTTCGGCGCCCCACAAATAATTCATTTGTGATAGGCTTTGATATTTGGAGATAAAATAGCGTATCTGGAAACAAAGAGGCTAGAAAGTTTAGATAAGCCTCTAACTTTATTTTGTTTACTCCTCAAATGGAGAGTCAATTGTCAAAATCCTATATATTGATGGAGTCCTGATGTGGTGCTGTGGATTAATGTACTGGACTGCAAAGTCACTTTGAACTGCAAGGTCAGGAGTTCAAGCTCACCAGCTACTCCTAAGCATTTGGAAGTTCTGTATCTCCACTATTCCCTCTTTTTGCTTTGTTGTTGACTTCATTATAAATTGATATCTCTGATTCCCTATATTTAGCCTTGTAGGTTTGTTTTGGAGTCCTGGTGTGGTGCTGTAGGTTAATGAGCTGGACTACAAGTTCAGTTTGAACTTCAATGTCGGTGGTTCAAGCTCACCAGCCACTCTTTGGAAATCCTATACAGGGTTGTTATGAGTTGGAACTGACTTTATGGCAATTTAAATACTTATATATTTGGATTAAGTTCTGGGTGGTATTGTCCTATATGTTAATTTCAGGTTGTTGTCTGCAGTTGTTGGTTCTCAGTAAAAAGAGCATTCTTTAGTATTTTTGTAAAGATGGTCTTGTTATTACAAAGTCCTTTAACTTCGGTTTATCTGGAAATATCCTAATTTCACCAGCTTTGCTGGGCTTATGATTCTTTGTTGGTAATTTTTTTCTCTCAGAGTTTTGTATATTGCCTCTTGCCTGCATGATTTCTGCTGAGAAATCAGAGCTTAGTCTTGTTGGTTCTCCTTTGTAGTTCGCTTTCTGTTTTTCCTGAGCTGCTTTTGGGATTCTTTCCTTTGCTTTGCTTTGAGAAAGTTTGATTCTCATATGTCTTGGTGATTTTCTTTTGGAATCTATCCTGTTTGGGGTTCTTTCAGCTACTACTATGCTTATTATCTCATCTTTCATGATGTTAGGAAGTTGTTTTTCCAATAACTCTTTGAGAATTTTCTGTTTTTTAGTGTCTTTTTCTGTTCTGGAATTCTGGTGACCAGTAAATTGTTCCTCTCCATTGTGTCTCACATAACTCAGGCTTTCTTCAGATCTTTTCATTCTTTTTTCTGATTATTCCTCTAGCATACTAGATTTATCTGTAAGCTTACTAATTTGGGTTTAAATTGCTTAGAATCTACTTCGTTAACTTTTCAATATATTGTCCATTTCTGAAATCTGGATTTCTAATTACAGGTATTGTATTGTTTCAAAATTAGCATTTATGTTGTCTGTTTATTCCTTTAGTGTTTTCCTGAATTCTTCTAAAGTTATTCTTGTATTCTCCTTGTTTTCCTTGATTTTTCTGTTAATCCTTTGTTGTTTGGTGCCTTTGAGTTGTTTCTGACTCATAGAAACCTTATGCACAACAGAATAAAACATTGTGCAGTCCTGTGCCAACCTCCCAAACATTGTTACTTTTGAGCCCATTGCTGCTGCCACTGTGCCAATCCATTTCTTGGGAATCTTCCTCTTTTTTGCTGACCCTCCAGTTTACCAAGCATATGTCCTTCTCCAAGGACTGGTCCCTCCTGATAATATGTCCAAAGTATAAGAGATGAAGCCTCACCTTCCTGGCTTTTAAGTATTATAACTTTCTTCTTCCAACACAGCTTTGTTTGTTTTTGTAGAAATCATAGTGCTTTTAATATTCTTCTCCATCACCATAACTCAAATGCACAAATTCTTCTACAGTCTTACATATTCATTGTCCAACTTTTACATGTGTATGTTGTTGTTAGGTACCATCAAGTCAGTACCAACTCATAGTGACCCTATGCACAGCAGAACGAAACACTGCCCAATCCTGAGCCAACTTTACTACTGTTGCCACACTTGAGTCCATCAATGCTGCCACTTGGCCAATCCTTCTCGTTGGGGGTCTTCCTCTTTTTCTCTGACCCGCCACCTTACCA